CTTTCTCGTTACATGATTGTCTGAAACAACCTTATTCACGTAAAATTTTACGTAAGTACGATCTGTTAGGCTGAGACTTCGTTTGTTTTAATCAGATTTTAAATACAAATAACAGTTTTACATCTTTACGTACTGTTGGCGTTATTTTCCATTCTTTTTTCAATTATCTCTCTTTGTATATTATGTTTCACACAAAATCGATACACGAATTATCATTATAATTCGTATTGTAAACTTGTGTAACAATTCGAATAAAGGTGTTTCGTTAAATAATACCGTGGTATTTTGATGACCAATCTTGCAACAATTGGTCAACAGAAATGTTAGTTCACGCTGTTGTAATTTCCTCGTAACTGCCCTTTTAAAATACAAAATATTCACGCTTGTTTTGTCAATTAATTGGTTTTCGTGGAGGCGTGAACCGTGGAGGGATAAAGTGGATCAAATTTTGTTTTTATTCTGTCGAAAGTGTTGTTTCTTTAATATAAATAGATAGATTATAGAGTAAAAAATTTCGATTCAATATTTCAATATACCCTTATTAAAATATTTACAGAAGTTTGTATAGTAGTTTTGAAAGGTTGAGTGCCAATTTTATACTTGAAAATTGCACAGTTTTAAAAAGGAAAGTTACAAAAACATAAAACTCGAAGACTCGCCTGTGCTTTTCTTGTCGATGGAAAAAATAACGCGGAATATTACTGTAAATTTTAGCTGCAACTTTTCGCTCCACGTATACGACAAGATGGGTGAAGTTTGAGTATTTATTTTAAGTGGTTTTAAAGTAAAATTGATTGCCAATACAGTTATTATTCCTTCGGATATAAACTCATAATTGTATTAATAAAATTTAGGTCGAATATATTGTCATTTTTATATATTATTTATTATGTACTAAATTAAATATTTTCTTTTAATTTTCTGACATTTGAATGCTTCGCCAGTCAGTTTCAAATTTGTAAATTTATTTATTACTAAAATGCAATATGTGAAATTATTATAGTTACTCATATAACGTGACACTGTACACCTCAACTTGTAATATTGTGACTATTTTCAATGTGTAAAATCCAAAAGAATTTCATTTTCAAAGTGTCATATTCAATTTAAAAATATATTAGTTTGGTTCGATGTCACCGAGTATTGATAGCAACAGAGTAAGTGTTCTGGAAAAATATTAGAAACATGAAAGTTTATGAGAACATTGGCATTTTTGAGACAGAAAGAAAACCAGGAAAGTCCATTTCAAATCGAAAATGTATTTTGAAATTAGTGAAACGACGCGTGGAAAAGTTACGAGAGAGGGTGGTTTGTTGTCAGAACCAATCTGATGATCCATCTTCTCTTACGCTTGTATAGCTTGGGTGAAAATGGTCGGATCTTTGTTCACAACTCGTATCACTTGCCCATCCAATAAACGAAGATACATCTGTTGATGTAACACATGATAAAGTAATTGGAAATTAATAAAAATCATTCTACGATTATAATCTATAAGAGAGGTTGTTTAGTTATATTCCTCAGTAATAATAATATGTATCATAATGAATTTTGCTAATACTAGATATAATAGAAATTATATCGTATTAAAACAAAATATAAAGACTCTTTCCAAACAATATTTATTATACATACAATAAAAGTTATGATTTGATTTTATTTATTCAGAAATTAAATTCATGTTAAAATCAGGCATATAATAAATACAAAAGAAAGGATCTTATGGATCAAATACTATAAAAGAGTTATGCTACTATCCGGTACAGTATAAATAAATATACAATACCGTAGAGTTTGATATTTGGACATCGTTCTAGTAAACCATTAAAGTTCACAACGTGAGATGAAATGTTTATTTCACGAAAAATAAAGCCCGTACCTTTGAAAACTGTCTCTAATGTTGTACACGAATTAATAAACATTGATTGGGAATTGTGGTAACTGCGACAATAGTCAATAAATTTAAGAAACACGGGCATTTGACCATACATTCATAAAGCGAATAGAGAGAAAAGAATGTACAACAATAGGAGAGAAGAAGAAAAATGTATTTTAAATGTTAAAAAGTAGTCAAAATTTCCTGAGACGATAACCGAACAGCTATTAAGGTTAATTTCTTTTGTTTATTATTTTATTAAAAATAATATTTGTTTATTATTTTTAATAATAAACAATCGTCATTAATAACCACCTAAGTGGAAAACATTATATGAAAAATAAAAACTACAAAAGTCATTATATTCTGATCTGATAACAAGGACAAGTGGTCTGGGTAATTAATTACAGCTATTACAATAACTAGGTAGACTATACAAAATATTTGTAATGATATGACATGCATTTTATAGCTCATAAAAGATTTTAATATTACCACTAAATTGAATTATATTTTCATGATATACTGTCGACATTTCAATGTTTTGTGCACAGTCCTTTGTCTAATTATGTAGTTTAATTTAATCAGGTTACACGATTGCCAGTTCATGTTTCGTTTCATGAACCGGGCCAGAAAGTAAAATTTTATTTACGGTGAATTTACATACGTATATATTTTAAAGCAAACTTTTATATATTTTCCTTTATACTTTTAGCCATTATTTTTGCAAACAATTTTTTTTTTTGCCGCAAGGTCTTCAATTTTGTTTTTTATTAATTTACGAAAATTTACACGAACAAGCCTACAGCGTTTTCAAAGTCAATAAAGGTAAAATGCATATCGAAGCGATGAGCAAAATCAACGTAACGAAGAAAAAGGAGGGAATCGAGTAAAGAGAATATTCAACTATCCTTGAAGCACAGTGGATATAACGTTTTTGCACGAAGATAGAGTGGAAAATTTGCAAATAATAGATGGCTCAGTGGATGAAAGCGCGTACCTAAATATTTTAAATGGAAACATAAGTAAAGTACCGAGGGTATTATGGTCAGTTAGGTCAGTACAAGGGTATTATTGAGATAGTAATCCTAAACACAAATCTCATTTAGTTCGAAAATTATTATTATATGATGGTGGTTCGATACACAGGAAACGTGTATTTAATAGAGCATTTAGTAATCCCCGGATAACTGATCGAATATTATTCTGAATGAGCGAACAGAAGTCCATTATTGATAATCGGGCTCACTTGGAATAGTTTATAATTAAAAATTGCGACAATGGACTTCAATTTTATTTACAAGGACTAGAGAATTTTCCTTGTTGGATCCAATCGATCGAAACGTATCGAAATGTGAAACAGTTTCGCTAGACGACGAAGGACGATTCCTATGCTACTTAAATTTGGATTAACGCGTAACACCCGGTGGATAATTTTTGTTTGCCCCGGCGATAGAATCAATTTAAGTTCGTGGAACACCGAGAATTATTCGTTCGATTGTTCTTATGTACTCTTGCACGTCCGTGCCGCGCATTTACGCTCTTCGAAATGAAGTTCCTCTTAAACTTCAGCTTCCGGCTCTACAAAGGGCGAGTGTCAAAGATTCTCGGTTCATAACAGCGACACGTATCTGGTTTTCATACTTCTCTCGTTTATGTCTTCGTCGCGGAGGAAAGACATATTTGTCACAATTTCTCTATCGGCGATTCACTAAACGTACGCTGTTTCCTCAAAGACTATGAAACGACGTATTGTTCCCTCGAAATCATTGTTAAGCTTTCACAAAGACAAATCGACAAAAAGATAATTATGATACGTGTAATATATGAGCCGGTTATTACCGAAAACTTAAGTCACGAAACCAAAAAAATCCCAAATTTTTATTTTTATTTTTTATTTATGTATGTGATAATAATGCTCGATATAAGAAATAACATTGCCACGTTTTCAATATATTTTTCAGCATATTTGTTTATAAATGTTTAATACTGAAAATTTTATAATGGATTTCTCATGGTTTAATTTGTATGCTTTTTTTTGTAAAAGGGTAGATGTGTTATTTGTTCGTTATATCTTCAAATGAAATAAAATAATAAATCTCTTTGTATTTTGTAACGGAAAAATAAAAATAAAAATTCATGTCGGTATTTTATATATTAATAAATAAAACCTACAAAAACTTGAGATACTTAACTCCAGTAACATGACATTAATTAATAAAATCGAACGATGGAGTAATGTACGTCGCAATAATTTTCGACAACTTTAGTACTTGTAATTAAAGAGAAACAATATTTCCATGAATGTAATAATTATTAACGAAATTTAAAAATGCAGAAAGCAAGGACTGTTGATGCTTCGAACTTTTAATAATTCTCTAACCCCTTTGTGCCCACCTTGATATTGTTGTTTTTTGTAATGCTCATTATTTGGTTGCAAATATAATGAGATTGTAATAAAATAATATACAATACAGATTATTTATACGTCTGTTGCGTCATTATGTCGAAAATCCCGCTGAACATAATACTGTAAATAATGTATTAATTTTAACCAATAATCCATGAAAGAAAAACACACGGTTGATAATACAACAACAATATAAATTATCTGAAACTGACTGCCGTGCATAGAAAGGTTGAACGTAAACAAATTAAAACGCGTACAACGAATAAAATTCAATACTCGTAAACTTTCAAATAATATTAAATCAAATATCAAAGACTTCCTTTAACATAAAAAACTGCCGGTTAATAAATCGTTTCCACGTTCAACTCTTGAATATTTATCTAGATAAAATTTAAAAAAATATTCCTCTGTATTTAATTTTCTTTAAAATTTATAATTTGGCATTTTCCATATCTGAGAATAATCGTATCATATTTGAATCATCGTAAAGTCTATTTGTAAAATAATAAACTATTTTATAGAAAAGATTTTTCGTCGGTCTGTATTTAAAAATTTGCGAAATTCGTTTATTGATTCAATTTGAAGAACAGCGAAAGTTTAAATAGCCGGACACCGGTGACCATCAGCGGCAGTAAAAGTTTCAAAGAAACAGAGAATGAAAAGTTGGGGATAAAGAGGAGTATTGACGATTAATTATAAAAAATAATTACTCACGTTTAGCGTAGGCGGTGCTACTAGCGAAGAGCAGGACCATCAACGCGCAGACGGAAATGCAGACCGTCAGTGGGATACCGGAAGTTAGGTTGCTCCTCATCCTGTTGCTCGTACGGAGACTGATTCCTTTCAACCTGATGGCTCGAGGGACGAGAGCTAGATGAACCGGAGGGCCGATGCTTCCTCGGCGAGCAGGTGGTTTTGAATGAACAAGGGGGACGTTGCGCGTTCCTTCTTTTACGGGTGCGGTGGCCAGAGTGGGGTAACCGAACGTCGCCGTGGAGCATGCTGAGTACGCAGATACTGCGGGTGGTGTTCCGTACACGCACGGGATCATATACAGGGTGCCAGCAAATTGGACACAACACCTGACAAAAGTCATTCGAACGAAGGATAAACTTGAACGAGCTATAAGATTGGACGCCAGTGCAATTACAGTATGTATCGCGAGAACACGACTCGATATCTAAGAAAGTAACAAGTATATTTGAAAAAATCACAAATAGGTTTAAAATATACATATAATAGTACCATGCAATTACCCGATATTGGGTGGAATCTTTATTCTGGTGATCAATTTAAAGTTTACTCCGGTGTACTTTGAACCTATTTTTGAATTTTGCAAAAAGAAGTGTGGTGGTAGCCCTAAATTGTAGCTTGGACCAAATTGTACCGAATGATCCATCTTCTCTGTTTTATTTTATTCAGTTCCATTGTTACGGGAACTGCCAGATATCGTTACAAACATTCGCGGTTTTGTTTTCAAAATTGGAGGACTAAATATTTCAGGTATCCCAAAGAGTCGTATTTCAAGCTCTAAAACGTGATTATCTTTTTATTAATTTTACATTTTAACGTAGGTTTTGATATATCATATTTCCTATTTCATTTAAACCCGCAGCGCCATTTTTTGTGTGCCGTTCTTTGTCCTTTCTTCGTACCATTTTCCATATTTTCCACGTTATGACATTTTTGTTCCAAGAGAGAAACCATAATTTCGACCGATCCAACTTGAAACCCATAAGGTGATTCAATTTAAGAAACTAAATTCTCGAATTAAGCCATTTTGATCCTCTGGAACTGGTGGTAACGAGGTTGAATGGAAAGTAATGCCTCCGATTTTTTAACTTCTGCAAACGTCGAGGTATTTTAATGAACGTAAATAGAAATAATGCTCGGAGCTTACTGTTCTATTTGCATATTTAGTCTTCGCAAAAGAATCGGCTATCGTGTGCCTTCAGCCACTTCCTTTTCAAATCTTTATGGCCCCTAGAAGTTCCTTTAATTTTGGGGAAAATACACCTGTAAAAAAGGAAAATCATGATCACTGGACATAAATTTGAAAGTGTGTATACCTAATTCGAACGCTCAAACTCTGGGACAGCACAATTTCTATAGCTACATTCAAACTTTAGGAGAGTACCAGCTGATTTCTGTATCAACGCTCAAACTTTAGGAGAATACCAAGTTCATTTCTAGCGATTGTGTCGAAAAAACCGCCTCGAGAATTCTTGAGATTTTTTAATAAATCATTCTCGATACCGGTAGACAATTTTTCACAATCTCGAGCATTAAAAGAAATATTATTAATTTTTCACGTGCTTATACAAATTGATACACACACCTATAACAAAAAAAAAAATAAATATAGATTGTCATTAGAATTCAGTAATATTAATTTTCTGTTGGTTTTGGTTTACGTCTGAGTAGGACATAACTTGACACCAAAGTGCCAAACTAGATCAGCTATTCATGGTAAAACAATTGCAGTTAAAAGACAAAAACTGTGCCAATGTCAACGTCAAAGTTGACATTAGATAACAGTACACGTCAACTTATAAACTGACTTAATGTTTTCCAACTTATTGGATAATTTAATAGATGAAGTATATTATTTAACGTTGTTCGACTTATTTTCGTGTCTGTAAAAGGTAGAGTTTAATGTTGTCCGAACGAGAAGTGAGTACATCGCCCGCCTGATAAAATGTGACGTTAAATGTATTTTTTATAATCGATCCGTTATCGCGTTGAAACCACTAACCCTGTTTATCATCGGCGAGAAAAAATATAAAGTGCACAGCTGATTACTAATTCCGGTGTTCATGTTACGTAATATTAGATCCTTAGTCGGAGGAAGAAAAAAATGTTCAAAAAAGAAAGAGACTACGAAAAAGAAATTTTGTTATCCAAGATAATACACAGTCTGTTTTGCGTCGACTAAAATTTTCAAACGCTGCCCAATGAAAATTGATAACGTTCATAAATAAATGTTTTCTCAAAAGGAAAGTAAAGTTTACATTTAACAAGTTACATAGTTCAAACTTATATTTCTTTAAGATTTAAAAGTCATTTAAATACCCAAATTATTTTTCTCTCAAAACCAATGGTTGATGCGTATAAAAATCATGCGATATTTATTAATATTTTTTACTCTTAGTGTCTTAGAAATAAAATATCAATATATAACCGGTTATAAAAATTGAAATAAACGTGATGTAATCTCAATCTTAGCTGATAAAAAGAACAACACGTATGAAACTTACTATAGCGAGGGCGATAAATCCTAGCTGTCTACAGAGTAGTCAATCGAGAGAAGTTTAAATAACTGTTCGATAGGATTGAGCCAAGTTTGGCTACCCATTTTCACCACAAGTTGCGTGGAAAACTTATCGACGAAGACACTTGGAAGTTTCATAGTAGAGAAGTTACTCGTTAAGCGGCTGCTTCGTTAAATCGACGCTCCAAACATATATCCCAAGGAAAATGATCCTCATTGTTTCTACTGTACGTTATTTGGAACGAAACGCTTTATGTACATACAGGGTGTACGATGAATCTTGATCCAGTGAAAGAGTTACTTACACGGGAAGAAATATTAATTTTTTTATTTTACATCATAGGTTATCTGTAAGGAAAAGATTCTTTTGAAATTTCATAAAGATTGATAATAGATTTATGCATAGAATCGCTGTTTCTTAACTTCACCCTTTCACACTTCATTTTTTCCACTTTATGATTCGCACTGCATCGATTTTTTGTTGGAAAACTTCGTTAGGACATTCATCTTGATTGAAGGTTTTAGCTATGTTTCGAATAATCAACTTTTGTGTCTCCTTTCCAATATGTGTTTTCGTTCAGCGTCCGCCAATTTCAGGGAAACTGTTTTTCAGAAATTGCACTCAGCGGAACGAGGCCACTTAAAAAAATATCTTTTTATTGTTAAAGATAACATTATTACGTTTCTAACACATACGGTTGAAGCAATGTTTCAAATTCGTAAAACAAGTATTTTAGTAATTGAATAACAAACAACTTTAATTCTATCCCTGTACCATCTTCTTTAAAAATGCACGAATGCACCTGTTGCAATGAATGACTACATGTCTAGGACTCCTATCGATCCTTTTATACAGTCATAACAGACGTATCTATATTTGGTTTTCACAATAGGAAAATAAAAAATAACATCTTTGATTTCAAAAATAAAAATTTGATCATAATTTGACTTTCATTGATTAAAGATTGCATATACAGACTGTTCGGCCACCCCTGGAAAAAATTTTAATGGGAGATTCTAGAGGCCAAAATAAGACGAAAATCAAGAATATCAATTTGTTGATTGAGGCTTCGTTAAAAAGTTATTAAAAAATTAAATTAAAAAATTTCAAATCATTCACAAAAAAATTATTTTCGGTTGCGGGGGTCAATTACAACCATTTTTGGTCAATAGACATACCCCTAAATTCCTACGCATTTTTGAGAAAAAAATTCAGAAAGGTGGACAAATTTTTCAACAAATGAGCCGTTTATTTTGAAAGTGGCCTAACTCCATTTTTCAATTTTTTCCGGTTACCATGGTTACATGTACAACTTCATGTTATTTATCAGTAAAGCATTTCAGATTGCTTATATTCCGAGCAAATACGATAATTCTTGACACATAAGTTTTCAGAGTTAGTTCAATAATTGAACCGTGTAGTTTGAAAGTGGCCTAACTCCATTTATACTTAAATCAAGATATTTGCTATTGATAATGTCGGAAAGCAGTGATGAAGGTAATTTTAATTAACTAGTATTTACAAGTTAACCTCAGTTTTTGGACAATTGCGTTAATTGAATAACCAGTACGTTTAATTAATATAAAACTTAAAGTTTAATATTAAATTTTAGAAATTATTTCACCCATGGGGAAGAACAGAACAAGACTATTTAGTTCAGATAGTGAAGAAGAAATAGTAACTAATGATTTAAAAAAAAATCGAAAAAGAAACAGAATTATAGAACAATATTCGTCTTCAGGGGATGAAGATACGAATAACAATGGAGAAAAGATTGATGAATCATACATCCAAAAAGTGCGAAAGATTAAACGGAATTCAAGAAAAAGATATTGTACTCAAACCGGAAATATTGTACTTGAAAAGATTTTCGAAAACAAAGATTGCCGTTGTCGGAATGCTTGCACAAAAAATTACGATGAAAAAGAAAGAAAGAATATTTTTGAGAAGTTTTGGGGTTTGGGAGATTTTAACAAACAAAATGTATTGCTTTACGAAGCTGTCGAGCGCAAAATTGTAGAACGAAGACGTTCAACAAACGGAAATGGTTCGCCAAGAAATTGGAGTTTTAAAGATATGTAAAATAAATTCTGTATTGTTTTTTTCAATTTGAAGCATCTTAAATTATGTTGAATGGACTTGGGCACCTTCAAATTTTATAATGAATCTGGTTGTTAATTTTGAAAGTGGCCTAACTCCATTCTTGATAAGAAAACGCATATTATTCACTTAATAATTGCCACTATTTTAATAGGAACTATAAATTTAACACCCTTAGATACACTTAAGCAGTATGACTCATTAGTATCCTATACGTATATTTTTAAATTCATTGAAACGCAAACCCTTAAATATCTCGATTTGAAGATAAATGGACTTAGGCCACTTTCAAAATAAACGGCTCAAATTTAAAAAATTTCCAATCGTTCTAGAAAAATTATTTTCGGTTGTGAGGGTCAATTACAATCATTTTTGGTGAATAGACATACCACCGAAATCCTACGTACTTTCGAGAAAAAAATTCTTTATCGAAAATATACTGTGTGGCCGGAAATTGTTTCTACAACTTTTTAACGAAGCCTCAATCAACAAATTTGGTATCCTTAATTTTCGGCTTATTTTGGCCTCTAGAATCTCCCATTAAAATTTTTCCCAGGGGTGGCCGAACACCCTGTATAATACTTATAGAATATTAAAAACCCTTAAGCAATTCTCGACTGGATAAATCTTTGACTTCAAACACAGATATTGTGCAGTCTCTATTATCTTCCTGTCAATTATGATTGATAATGAGCATCATTAGCGGAAACGATTTCCATTTATGACAGCATTGGTGGTAAAAAGTAATCTTTGAATCGGAAGCTCGGTAAAAATATAACATAGAAATATCAAAAAATAAAAATTATTCTTACAATGGTCTTTTAAAAAGAGAAAAATTCCAGGAATATACAAGAGAATAAACTGTTACATGATATAATATCCATAAATGTAACCTTGTCTAATACACGGTTCATGTTCACATGAATAGAAGCATTATTATTGAGTTACATTGTACATTCTCACGGTTTATTGGACAGTTCATCGGTTAATAAATTTTATCGGATTCTAATTAAAGACCAAAGTCGATTAAAATGTGAAATCTTCTCAATTATGTTAAAAGTTAAACTTTCTTTAATTTTAAAACATACTAAAAAAAAGTAATAAAATAAATGATCAAATAGATCACAATCATAATTTTTTTTAATGATTATTCAAGTTTACTCTAGAAGGGTCACTGAAAAGGGAAGTTTGAAAAATATTGGTCCACTGCATTACACCCCCGTATATACATATTTATATTATCATAACAGAAGAAGAGCTCCAGTTTTTATGCATAATGTTCGAACTTTATTTTTGTTTAAAGATTTAGTTCCCATTAAGTAACTTTCTAGACTGTGAAACAGGTGGTAATCACTTGGGACAACGTCTAGGGTCTCGAGAATATGAAGGATGAACCATAACTTCCCAGTCAAGCTCTTTAACTTTCTGGAGTGTTGCTTGTGTACTGCGCGTTCTTGCATTATCGTGATGAAATGAAACTTTTTCCCCTTCACTAATGTTATGTACATTTTTTTGTAGATTCATAAAGCTGTTCGTCAGTTATTATTTCGAAAAATGCATTTAACATATTATAATGTCATTTTTCAAAATAATATAATAATTTTCATGTAAATTGTTTATAAATATTTCGTAAACAAATTAATTATTTAAAAATTCACGGACATTTTTGGTGATCTAATTTCTAATAATATACATTGTTTATAAATGCAAAAGTGTTATTAAGATTATTGACGATCGGTAAATTCAATTATAATTCCTACCGTACCGTTAACGCTGCAGTTTTATTCTTTCCTGGAATGGTAACGTCACATATGACAAAAAAATGTTTCAGCCCCGACTCGTTCTTAACATAACAATCTTCAAAGGATGAAACTGAGAAACCCTGGCCGAAACTTTAAAATATAAAATCATTAAATATGACCTTTAGACTCCATCACAGTTTCTGTCAACTATCATTCTTGGAGTAGTACTGCTTTGATGAATATCTGGTGCTCTTTATTATTATAAAAAAATACTTAATAATGTTAGAATAAGCATGGTTTTCAGTATCCAGTGTGTATGTATGTCTTATTGTGCTGATTATCCGGAACGTCCGATTAACATTTACTCTTTTATTTCCAAGCTTCGATCGAAATACAGTAGTGCCCACATAAGTAATCGCATTTTTGTCCGCGGCCAGTCCCGAGCGGGGTCACTTAAGGGAGGAACCTTATGTAAAATGAAATTTTGGAGTATTTTTTTTTGCTTAAATTAATAGGAAATTTCCTCAGGAATACAATAAAAAAAGTTAGAAAGTGATCAGAGATTTCCTTGTACCTTATTTTCAAAATAAAGTAAATGGTTGTATTGGACACAGGGGCTCGGGTAGTCGAATACTCGTCGGACGCTTGGTCTTATGGTTGCTTTGTTATTTAACTGTGTTACAACCAATTATGTGTATATCGGTTCTGAAAAACGTGTTCCCTCGCTCAATTCAGCAGCGTCTCTCGATTCAAATCAGTCGTTCGCAGAGCATATTAAAATAAGGATATAGTGTAGGCAAATTGGTAGAGATTGTAAAGATTTTAGTGGCCAGTTGCTCAACAACCAGGCCGACCGGGACGGGGACACAGATTTATGATGAGGACGTGACTTTTGACTATTTTTTTGGAAAGCAGAAAACGGATTTCGCCAACAATAAAATATCTTAATTTCGACAGTCCGAAGACTAAATAGCGATAGCCGCAGCATAAACCTGGTCATCCTAGCAAGGATACAAGGGATAGCGCACTCAGGTAGGAACCCCACCAAAGCATGTACTAGGAGGCGTCTAATAAGGCGAACACCTAATTAGTGGAAACTGAAAACGCCTATCTTTTGACAAAAGGTAAAAACCCGAGACAGAACGCTCAGAAACAGACATTGTAGAAATATAGAAGTAACTACAAGATACCGTGTAATCAATAGTGAAAATGAGTCGAAAAGTGCAAGATGATAATCCTAATTATCGTCCTAATCGTCCGAGACGACGAAAAGCTCCTAAAAAATTTGACTTGAGGAGTGCTGAAACAGAAAGTGAAGAGACGAGTGGAGGCTATGTCAGCAGATATAATTACTAATTTTACACGCTGTTAATGAATTAAAGAATTTATCAGTGTTTTTGGTGCAATTTCGGATAATTTTATGTGCAAAACATGTAAACGAAAGCAAACATTTGGAGAAGCAGGCAATCGTGGATTGGGGTTTAAAATCGTCGTTACATGCGCGTGTGGGACTACTTTAATTAATTCGGGACCTTTTGTAAATAACAGTTTTAAAATTAACCGCAGAATTGTGTTCGTGATGCGTTTGTTAGGCGTCGCACGTAAAGGATATAAAGATATTTTGCGGCATGATGGATTTAGGCTGTGAATTGAGTGTATGTGCTTATGACGGCATTATACAGCATATACATACTTCACTGCAAAAAAATGTTTAATGATACGTGTCACAAAGCTGTTGAGGAAGAACAGTTTAATGAAAAAAAGGAACAACCCTTGTTAAATTTTAAAGTGTCTGGAGATGGTTCCTGAAAAAACGAGGATTTTCTTCACTCTACGGTGTAATGACGCTCGGGGAAAGTCATCGATTTATTGGTAAAAAATAGTTATTGCCAGACATGTGCATATTATAAAAATAATAAAAAGAACCCCGAATATTTGGAACATAAAGAAAATGGACATTGTACAGTGAATCACAGTGGCTCTTCGGGTAAGATGGAAGTAGATGCTGTCGTAGAAATGTTTCTCCACTCTGAACAATTACACGGAGTACATTATAGTAATTACATAGGAGACGGTGACGCTAAAACGTTCAAGGCAATTTTGGATATTGAATCGTATGGTCATGAGTTCAAAATTAAATTGAACGAGTGCATTGGACATGTGGAGAAGAGGATGGGTAGTCGGTTGCGCAATGTAAAGAAAAGTGCAAAATTAGGAGGAAAAGGAAAGCTGACCGATGTGTTAATAAAAAAATTGACAAAATACTACGGTCTCGCTATCAGGCGTAACAGTGATTCTGTTACTGACATGAGAAAAGCGATAATGACAAAATTTTATCATCTGTCTTCAACAAATGAAAAGCCGCAGCACGACGACTGTCCTCCCGGCGCCGATTCATGGTGTAAGTGGCGCGTTGCACAAGCCTTGAGACAAGAGTTTAACCATCCACCTCCATTACACGAAGATGTGCAAAAACATATTCGTCCAATTTACAATGATTTGTCACGAGATGATTTCTTGGAGAAATGTTTAGGTGGCCATACACAAATTGTTAACGAGAGCTTTAACGCCATCATTTGGCGTTTAGCTCCTAAGCATCTTAATTGTGGCATAAAAATTATTGAAATAGCTGCTTTTTTGGCTGCCGGCATATTCAACGAAGGATTTTCGTTCGTCCTTCAAGCAATGCAAGAACTCAGTATAGTAATTGAACAGCAAAGCAAAACATTCACTGAACATGAAAATAAACGCCGTATTAGACAGCAGGAGCACCGCAGTCTTCATTACACAAAAGAGGCTCGCGCTTCTCTAAAAGAAGAAAAAATGGCTAACAATAAGTCACAACTTTTCAAAGAAGAGGAAGATCTGTTCTATGGCCCTGGAATCGCATACTAGTAAAAAACTGCGGTAAGTTAAAATGAATTACGAATTTTTCACGATTTTTCTGTTACTCAAACTTTAAACGCGTTTTTCTCACAACGCAAAATTAATCACTCGATCTTTATGAAACTTGGCACAAATATTCTGTAAATAATTGGCCTTAGCATGACAAGCTCCGATTTTTTATTTTTTTCTTTAAAACACTGATATTAACAATTGTTTATAAAACAAAATCCTTTTTTTCTTCAAAACTTCGCCATTTTTACAATTTTGCAAATTTTAATAAAAGAAGACCGTCATGGTGAGCGTTTTTCCATAAACTAAAGAATGCATTTTAATTTTTTTATTTCAGATCATTTTTGGAACCTGTACGCTGCACGGCGCATTTACAAAATGCCATTTTCAAGCCGCCATTGTACCGTTGTTATTAACAATTAAAGTTTTAAAAAAATATTCATGTTACATTATAATATTAATAAATGATACCTAAAATTTTTAATCAATCTACACATTACATTTTTCACAAAAAATTCTTGAAAAACAGGCCATTTACATAAGGTGAGCACTACTGTACATGTTCAACTTCTATACCATGCGTGTCTTATGACATAAGATACACTCCTATTAAAGTGGAACAAAATGTTAAGAAGTGTTTTTTAACTTAACAGTTTATTAACGGTTCCGATTTCGGTAGTTCAATCGACCACTGGTTTCTTTTTATCGGGTCGTACGTAAGTGGAAGGCACTTTCCTCATGGTAGTCCGTCTGCCATGATGGAATCAGTCTGCCATCTGGTTAGGTTGGTGTGAGGAGTGAAGCATTTTTAACCCATCGGGAGTGAAGTAAATCTTTTACTTGAGTAAGAAGTCTTTGTGAAGTTATGAATCACTGATAGAGAATACGACTGAAAATGTTGAAAACATTGAAGTGTGGAAAGGGAACCTACTGTACAATTCAAAAAGCGTTGATACAAAAACGATCGTTTCTGTCCGAAGCGTACCGGTGCGAAAAAGCATGGCAATCTCGGCTTGAAACTCCGTTATTGAAAAAAATTAAACCACAAAACTTATCCTTAGACATAGAACATAAGCATATAACTGCTGGGAAAGTAAATGCACTGGATATCGACATTTTCGCGAACACAGTATTGGAAAAATATCAAGTTGAGGAACTGTTGACTTCAATTCATAATTTAAGGTTAACTGCTGAAACGTCGAACACATTAGAGTCAACACATCATGCTGTCATTAGGTATTTGTTGGATAATGATTTTACCGAAGATATTATAAACGTATTGCACGACAGACTCAATTATGGTATTTTTCCCGACCATTTGTGTTATAATATACTTATGGACACATACATAAAAAAGAAGGACTATGTTAGTGCAGCAAAAATTGCTGTTTTACCTATGTTACAAGAAGATTATGAGAATCAAATAACTAACGCATTGTCAGTATACTCCTGCTACAAATATTTGGAAAAACCTGATGATTGGCCAAAGCCACCAGTTTCTATAGATGATTCCAAAGAAGAAATTAAAATACGCGTGGATTATCTTAGGAATCCTTTCTTTGATGATCATTTTGATCTTACAGATCCACGTGATTTGGTAGGAAAAACATTAGCTTTCTATGGAAAAATTATGAATAATACATTAGGCAGGACTTGTCAGTTAAGAGGCTTAATATTATATAAAAAGTATCAAGATATATTGGAGTTAATAGAAAAGTGGTTGAGACAAGAGAATGATAATATTATATATGAAGAAATTTTTGAGTTGATAAAAAAAGATAATGAAAACCTACCTGTAGAAGAAATGACAGATGAATTTAAGAATGTAATGTCCCAAGTTGAAAAATTAAAAACTGTAAGTCTGTGTAAAGATAATTTAATCCAAGCATTGGAGAATGAAATTAAATGTGCAGTTGATAAACAATCTGAGACAGATATAAATGAACAAATAAAGGTAATCAATATTTTTAAGAACTTATTAACACAAATATAATTTGTGTGATTTTTATAAGACTTATTTAAGACTTTAGCATTTACAATTTAAACTATGGTACAAGCTTTGAGAGCTGAAGACTCAAAATTCATTTCGATCGCACTATATTAAATAATTAATAAAAAATTTTTTAATATTTTAGAAATATATTGTCTGGGGAGAACAAAGACAAAACCTATTAAATGAACAATTAGAACAGATAAATCGAGAAAAAAGAATACAAAATATTAAACAAATAAAGAAAAAATTACAAGAACAAGAACAACTTTTGACATTCTTTGACAAAGAAGAAGAAATAGAATTAGAAATAGAACACTTAGAAGAAAAAGACAAAGAAGAAATGGAACGCGTTCTTAAAATGCATCATGCTGTAAAGAAACTCAAACAATTGGAGACACAAGCAGAATATATACCACCAACTGTTACAAAATAGATGTTAAATAACTAGTGTAGTCATAATCGATGAATGAAACTTTGTAGTTGAAAATTGTTTAATAAAATTGTATTTCAACAGAAGTTATTCTTGAAAGGATATAGAAAGGATGATAATGGTAAGAGACAATAAAAATATATTAAATGTTATTTATCTTTCGTATTTTGTACATAATCACTTAGAAGTGGTTTTTAAATATGTAGTACTTATGTTTGTAGTAGATTTCTCCAAAGCCGTTTATTTCTTAGAAATATGAAAGTTAATTATACAATTAAATTTTATACTAAAAAATTATTAGGCTCTGTAACAAATAACATTCCGTTTGAGCGTTGGTATTGAATAAATTTATGTCACATGCTTGGCCCAATTTTAAGCACATTTAGTATTACATAACTTCGGACCAAGGCACACATTTAGCAATTAGTCTTAACAGGTTTGGTCTTCGTATTCGTTTGTAAGGAATGTTCTGTAAGTGTAACGATATAATCTCATAAATCTTGTAATCAATTTTGATATATAACACAATATTAATGCAACGTTTACCTGGTCGTTGTTATTACGACTCGTATTGTAGTACCTTATATTATATAACAATCACGAAGATTTATTTTGTAGTTGCGCAGTTAATGCTGCCGTTTCTTGTTTCATTTGTTCCAAATCAGCAGTTATTCTTTCCAAATTTGCTCCAACATTTTTCGCGGATTCAGAATCGATCTAAAAGGAAATGTATAATACAACAATGAAATTAAATATCGTATTTTGATATTACATCAGAATTAAAAATGATCATTCTAATTACATCACGAGCCAATATTACCTGTTCTTCTAAGTCCCTAATTTCTCGTATAGTGGCACCTGTTTCTTCGACTAAACTTACAAGTTCACTGCAATCGGAGTGAAGCGTAGCTAGCAATTTGTACGCTTTTCTCGATGCTTCGTTTGTCCTTGCATCTCGAAATATTAATTCATCAACAACTGTAAATGATCTCTCCATTCTGCCTGTAAGCGTGTTGATTTCTTTTTGGATTTCCCGTGTATCAACTAAAACTTTATTGATTTCGTCCCTTTGTTTCTTAACATTATTAATTATTTCTAAAATTTGTTGAGTATATTCAGATCTATTCACTACTGACTTAAGTTTTTTAAATTCTGTTACTAATTGCGAATATTGTTGATTTTTGTTATGACATTCCTCCTGAAGTTCTTTTTCCTTTTCTATCAGTAATTTAATTTCATCGAGTGTCTTTTGACTTGCGCTCTATATATACATACATACATGACATTTTTATTTCAGGAATATACTTAAAATTTCACTATCTCCTATTATGTATAGTAATACTTACAGCTTTCGTTGAATGCTTTTCCCGTTCTTGTCTATATCTTTGAATTAATGGTACCCTATATTCATCCCACTGATTACCTAAATTAATTAATTTATTTGTAGTAGCTGCAATTGCTGTCTCTAGTTTCTTAATATTCTCTTCGCCATCTTGAAGTAGATCGCAAATTCTTAATTTAATTTTCTTTTGTTCCTCGTTAATTGTTAACTCTTTTTCTTCAGTTTGATAATTTATTGTTATTTGTGTTATATTAGTACTTAATTTTCTAATCTCATCTTGTAGTTCTTCCATATTATTTTTAAGAGTTTCACATTCTTTTTTTATCTTTTCTACTTCTAATTCCTGTTTTTCCGTTTTATTTAATATTTCTTGATTTGGAAGCATAGGTTTTTTAATACTCTCATCTTTTACCTGAGGTTGCTATACATAAAATAAAAATCTTAATGATGAAGTATAATATAATACTTATGTATGACAATAATATAGTAGTGCCCACTTAAATGTCCGCACTTTGGCCTACTTAAGCGTCCGCAGCCGGTCCCGAGCGCGGACAATTAAGTGGACACTACTATAAGTACAAACATTGTGCTAATTTTAAAAACCTTACTTTGGAAGTCAACATTGTATCTTTTATTGATACCCTATTAAGAACATTAATGTCACTTGATGCATTAACACAAGTAACTTTATTGCAGTGTTCTTTATTTAACCAATTTATTCGATCAAGTATATTCGTAGGGTGCGAATGAAGAGCCTTCGCGTTATAGGATATCAGAGAAGGTAAAAATGATTGTTGATTTTGCACTTGTTTAGGCACAGTTTGCAGATAATGTACACAATAATCTTGATACTCTACAATAAAAAAAATTTTCATTTTTGTAAATTAAGTATTGCTTTGCTGATCTAAGTTATTGCTTAATCAAAATAATCTTTTTTTCCTAATGAATCAGAAATAACAGGGTTTTGCTGTAATATTAAATGGTGTTATAAACAATCAATATTACCTTCTCCACCTTCTGATGTCGGTATTTCTAAATTCACAGATACATAAGGGATGCTTGCTCTGCCTCTATTTCTAAATCCTTTTGTATGACAATAATGTGGTAACCATGGGATTGTAAATCCTTGCGATACCTCTGATGCTATAGACTTTTCTAATAATGCAATATTACTAATAGGTTCATTTAAGGTCTTATCATATTCTTTTGGTAGTTTTTCAATGAGAAACATAAAAACTCTTCGTAGGTCAGCTTCTGAATTATATAAAAATGTTTGGTAACCAATATCACCTTTGTATCCTAATTCCTAAATTTATGAAGTATGTATTAACAAAAATAAAATTATGTAGTTAGATAAATGAAAAAGACTATTTTTTTTTTTAATATCTTACTACACATGCTTGAGCAAGCGTGGCACCTAATCGAAAACGGGCTGCCATGTTTATAGGTAAAACTGTAGACAATCCAAGACCTGGTCTTATTATATCTAGACATTTCACTGTTGCTTCTACCACTAGTTCTGTATTAAAATCACTGAGATTTGTTATGCTGTATCCTATATCACTAAAATACATTTAAGATTTATCTAAAGTACAAAGATGTTAAATTAAAGAAGCATTATTGAAAAATTGTCGACTAATTGCAAAGCGATTTATACAATTTCATTTAATTTTTTCAATAAATATTAATATTAGGACGATATACTTACTATTTTGCGTATCTTTTTTTAAAATTACATTTACGAGTTTATTTATCATGATACATATCTCGTTATACTGTTTTCTGCTACAACAGTTTTTATTTATTAATTATTTAATACTCATATTAATAATTAATTTATAATAAAAACCGTTATATAGCGAAAAGCTATGGAACGAGGTATGAATGTGTATTTACTATGATTTTGTAAACTTTGTCAAGATTAGCCGGTAAAATTTATTTCGTGTTCAGCAATTTTGTAATATTCTCGTTTGTGGTTTTATTTACAAAGTATTGTAGTGTCTTAGTTTTGACAGAAAAACACAAATAAACATTACCGCCTACTTTTGTTCTTAATAGAATGCAATCGACATTGGATATCAAAGGAGGCAAATATACACTGAAACAATGCAAAATGCAACTCACCAGCCTATTTGACACAACGAGTGAAGAATTATATGGTCAATCCCTTCCATCATCCGTAAAAATGTGAAAATTCTAAAATCCCCTGCAGTGTTATCGTATTTTAAGAAATCCAAGTTGAATTGCAAGAATCTAACCTGTCTATGAGTGGAGAAACATTTGTGTACTACCGTGCAATTATGCAGATGGCGCAACAAATTTTCAGTTTCACCAACGTGAAGTATGTTTCTTCTATACTGATCGGTTTTGATTTTATATAATAATAATAATCTCTGTAAAGAGAGTCTAGAGAGTTTCTTGTCTATATTTTTTACACAACTCTGTGTGTTTTTCTCGTTGAATACCCAAATTAATCGATTAATTAATTTTAGGTAGCTTCAATGATTCTGTCTAGTTTCTTAATATTCTCTTCGCCATCTTGAGTCACATCATACATTCCTGCTTTAATTTATTTCTGCTTTTCGTTAATTAACTTATTTTTTTTTTGTATCGTGATAATGTAATTTACGTTACGTTCTCGTTACGAGCCCGCCTTGAGATTCGAGTTTCCGCGCCATTTGTTGCCGCTCAGATTTGCGCGCCACATTCGCGGCTAACTTCACCGCGCCAAGTAAAGATCAATTATTCGCGGCGAGAGGTCCGCACTCCGTAGAGTCGTGCGTTGCGTTCGGTACGCGTCAACATCAGCTGTTGTTTCGCTCTCGCGTGAAATGACAGTTTCGTGGAAGTTCACAATGTGGAAATCGTTTTCGTGAGGGTGCTTCGTGTATCGCGGAGGTGAGCCCGATTCACGATCTTCTCCTGGAAAAGATGAACGGGAGTCTGGGGATAATGCGGGGTCCCGAGCAACATCCACAGAGGTTCGCGGATTATTTTGTCATTTGCGGACTGGACAAAGATTCGGGCTTGGAGCCAGACAAGTATTACGGTGAGTCCTACAGTTTTTTTAAACGCATCCGCGAATCACGCCGTCTTGCCAGGACTGGTCGTCTGTTTCTCAAGTATTCAACCTCGAACGAGTTCAATCTCGGTCATGAACGTACGTTAGACGGATTTTTTATGGCCTGACAAGAAAGGTTGCACTGCTGTTGCAATTTTCGAAATCGCTAGTTTGCGCAACGATAGACAATATATCTCGGGGCAGCGATATTTTCCAGTATCGGATGTTGCTAGTGTTTACACTAATACGGTATTGTTGTGCTGTGAACTTTACGAATCGAGACAGTTACGGAATTAATCGTTAAAGATCGTGGGATTAAGTTTGTTAGCAAGGTCCGGTTAGTAATTGTGCACAGTATTATACGCGTATCTTCTTGTTTTATTTACACGTGATAGACACGTGAATTTCAATCGATGCCAGTGCTACCCACAGGAAAATGCATTTCTGTCGACGAACCGAATTGACAGTTCGTTTGAACGCGTATCGTAAGTTTCTTTTTGGTACGTGAATGTACATTGCACTAAATATTAAACGTCTACACGTCCAAGATTGGAATACATGTGACATTGTACGATGATTTATCTAGGAACAAACGCTTCGTTTCTGATGCGTTTTCAAACGTAAATATATAGCTGCTAGTATTAAATAGTTTTTGTGATACTTTTACATAATTAGCAGAATGGAAGGAAGCAGGGTTTGGTTGAAAGTTAAATGCTCGATTAGCGTGTGTCTTGTATATTTTTAATTGTACATTTTTTTAATGTCACTTAAATCGATATTTTCATTCGCTTATTTTTAATCCTCTTTCGCGAAGTATCTTCGTAGCAAAATATGATGCAAAAACGGTTATCATTAAATATTATATGTAAAGCTGTTCTGTTACGAATAATTGATATTAGGATGATGAATTATAATTATTGTATCAGCACACGATATTTATTAAATTTTTTTATCGTTATTCTTGTTTTACGGTATTATTTTTAATAGCGATGGAATTATTATATCATTATTATTAATATACAATATTTATTATACTTGCTAATTTATGGACTTAATCATTACGAATGTTGTGTGTTCATCGATTTTTTATCTTATCAGTTTAGGCAGATACAAACATGTTACGTGGATCAAATACGAGAAGTTGTTTATTTATCATTTTCAATTAATTGTAATTTGTAAATTAATGCACGAAGCAAGATAAGAAAACTATTTATTTAAAAGTCAAAAGGTATAGTAGCCTAGAAATAAGTTGACTATGAAAAGAGATTAATTTAATATATGATTTAGACCAATTTCGTAATACATAACCAGCATATAATGTAATACATTTTGGTGGTTGATAGTTAGTGACGCTTGCCGTGCAAAAGTTATTCGGGACGCGAACAATGAGGGTACAGGAAGCAACGGATCTTCCTAAGAAGCAATGCTTCTCTCGTGCGGTCCATTTTTTCCCAGAACAGCTTCGAAGGGATCGTTTTACAGACTGCTGGTGCCACTCCTGGGAAAATTCCGCGTTAAAAGATGCATGCGCTGAGTGCTGACCACTTGTTTCGTTAAGCGGACGGTTTACTACTGCCTCGGTTTGTGTATGTAACTTTTTTGCATAAAATTTGTTTGCGTATCCTCTTTGCACACGGCTATGCTTGGCTCCCATCATGAGCAATTTGTCCAGGAATTAATTGTTTACGAGCAATTAACAGAAAATTTGTAAAAATAATTTATCTATTTATCTAACGTCTCTATTGCACAGAACCAACACGTTATGCATATAAAATTAACATTCATTCGTTGCAGAAAATGAGATCCGAGACAATAACGTAAAGAGAAGATGTGCAGCTGAAGTGCTAAACCCAATCTCAATAATAGAAATGAAAATATACAGAGCAAGAATAGGAGAAACGTAGTCAAAGGACGTAGTTAAGGTCATAAGAGTTACTTCTATTTAATATAAAGGTACAAAAGAGAAAAAAATTACACATAAGAAGGTTGAAGGTTGGAAAGCAAAATATAATTGGTAACGGTTCAGTCATTTTGTATACGTTGTATGAAACAAATTCTTATAATAATGTAATAAATATCTGATAATCTTTTTGCTACATACAAAATAGGCATAGAGTTACTTTGTAACATTAACTCCTTACCGCATGGCGTGCAATATATGCTTCGCGCCAGTTTATTTATTTTATTTTTCAACCTTCAGCATTTTTAACTGTACTTGTAGATCATTTATGTTGGTAATTATTTACTTTAGCGATTCCTCACCAATTTCCATAACCTTGAAATATGTTGCCAAGGTCACTGTTACGAAGATTTTTTCTTTATACGTGTTACCGCCGCTCGCTCTTCGTTTTCGAGATATTTGCAAAAATAATTTTATGTTTGAATTAACCTCGGGTTGAGTTGGAGATAAAATATTAAACTTTATTGGAAAAATGTCTGCCATTATATAAAAAAATGCAGGTACTCTTGTATTAAAATAATGACGACCAACGACAAATACTATATACTGTGTCAAGCTAATATCGGATAATATAAATAAAGAAAATTGCAATAGAAGATGAATGCGGCGGCCGGTATAAGAAAATCTAACCTAAACCTAATCCATTATATTAACTACTAGGTAGAATAGTTAGGTTTAAGTAAGGTTTAGGTAAAATTTGTTTATGCCGTCAGGCGGCCGGCTACTCATATCGAGTTTTTACGCACATCCGTTATACGCACCCATTGCCGGCCGCCTCGATGTATCTATAGAAATAATAAACAATCGGCGATTCAACGCTTACACACACGCTGCCACAGTCACGTAAGTACGTATAGACAGGATTCATTGCAGTAGCAGCGATCATTTTGAAGAAAAATCTCGGAAACTAAGGCCGAGCGGCGGTTATATGTATACATAGAGAAAAAATCTTCATAACAACAACCTTGAAAACATATTTCAAGGCCATCGAAATTGGTGAGGAATCGTTAAAATAAATAATTACCTTTTTTTTTTTTCTATACTTTGGTTTAAAGAGTCCTACAAAGTAACAACAGTACATTTTTTGTAAATTCATTTCTCTCACGAGTTAGATATCCAGATTGAAAACTCGGTATGACACCAGAAATCTTCGCGCACACGTGCGTCGGACTTAACGGCCGTAGAATTCGTAGCGAAACAAGTGTGTCGTAATTCAACACCAGTACTTTCGTCGTACGCGATCGCCAGTTTTCAGGATTGAATTACTCCGGGCACGCAGTATAGTCGCTGAAAGCGATATACAGTGACTGTCACTTAAAATCGTATACCTAGCGGTTCAGCCGATATTTTTTCAATAGAACATGAAAATTGTACTAAATTATTGAAACTCGTATAGATGCATATAGTGTAACGTTTCATTATTTGATACGTAACATTACAAAAAAATCTTTAGTATGTATTCGGTAAATTAAACAAAATTTCGGGTTGCGTGTGAAACTTAGCTGTCAGTAAAAATCGTACATTGTTGGTAACATTCAAAATTCGGGAAATCCCCAATTGTTTTTCGTGTAACAATGCTTAGCAACGATTGAATCTAGCTGATTTAACAGCATTCTGATTGTTATATGCGTTGTTCTACCAAAAAATCAATAAAAAAGCCTTAAAATGCGACAAACTATAGTAGCAGAGCGTGAATTAGTTATTTGAAATTAGTAAAATTATTAATCGAAGTAGAAGCACAGTTCAATGTATAATAAAACAATACAAAGAAGAGGTCGTGTAGTGAATAAATTAAAAGAGAGGTCTGATAAGAAACTGAATATCAGGGATGAACGATGGATTGTTAGAAAAAATAAGGATGATCCGAGGATTAGTGTTCCAAAAGGGTATAGCCGAATAAGGGGGTCAAATGTGCCCCCAAACCGAATGGAACGAGCCCGGGGTCATTCGATAGCAAAAAAAAAATAACCCATGTGTGCAAATTTTTAACTTGAAATCTCGACCGTGGGGGTAGTAATGGGGTGAAAACGAAAATCATGTTTTTGAATTATTTCTCTTGACCTATTGAGTAAAAAAATGTAAAAAAATTCAGAGACATTTCGGGTACCGGGGCACATACTTTGGGAGATTTTCAGATTTTTTGGTTGAAGAACCAGGTAGTGAAAAATAAAAAACAGCAAAAAATGCCGAAAAATGCCGATTACGTATTGAAGGAGGCCCGGAACTACTTTTATACTTTTACAGTAAACAGGTATTACTATTACTATTACTCTCAATTTTTTTCAGATTTTTCATTTTGGTGCGCCGCAGTGAAAAAAAATAAAAACCGAATTTTTCCTCATTTTCTGCGTATTAGAGTAACTTACACGTTGAATTTTTATGCGTCCTTCAATATATAAGTGTTTTGTAGACTGTTTAATGTTTCTACACTAAGCAGAATTACATAACAATTGAAACAAATAAAATAAAGCCAACCGTTGAGCGCAATATATCCTAGAAAATCAACGATATTTTCAACGGCGTCGATGGCGCAGTTGTTAGAGTGTCCAACTGCTGAACCGCTGCAAGTTTTTTTACCATAGGTTCGAGTCTCTCTTCTGGACTTAGGATTTTTTTTCCTTCATTATTTTTTTTTTCAAATTCTAACTATATAACAATGCTTTATATTTATTTATAAATGTTCTGAAAGCATTTTACAAATATTTTAACCTGAAATATGTATAAATATAGTTTTGAGAGTGTTTTTTGCGTTTTTATTTTTTTTGTCAACCACGATTATTGTTTAACATCTCTTACACTGAAATTAATGTGAAATGTTAGTTTTCAAATCTCTTACCTTTGACTATTGTGAATGGATCGGCGCAGAAGATTGTATATTGGCTTACTATTACTTCTTCTCGCCCTTCGATCAAGCAGATCTTTCCTTCTTTTTCTCTTTCTTTGATAAATATGAATGTTTGCTACGGCTTCAGTATCTAACGTAGACATGTAAGGGCCATTCCACGCCAAATCTATTAACCCACTCTCT